TGGGATAACATTCACCCTTCCAACGGTGTCCAAAGTGACGGGATCGATCTGGTTAATGTAGTTGATCTCGGACGAGGCGTAGTAGTCCTGACCGTAGCGGATGATATTAATCATGTTGTTGTCGGTAAAGTCAGGAATGACGTTGCTGAGATGCGTGAATGCTCTGGTGAGGAAAAAAAAAAAAGACATTAAGTGTGAAAAAAAATCACAATTTGACAACAAGACAACCGAACCAGAGCTGGAATCCGAGCTCCGGATGTCACTCGCGAGGCCGCGCCCTTTAAAAGGCAGACATCCATCCAGTCTTTACACCGCTTATCCCGTTCAAGGTCGCGGGGTGCCGAAGCCTATCCCAGCAGACGTAAAAAAAAGCAAAAGAAGGACTCGACCCTGAACTGGTCAGCGGTCAGTCGCAGAGCTGACAGACAGCCACCCACACCAACATTCAAACTGTCGCGGAATCCACGCTTTCCGCACAGAACTCAGGCGAATGTACCCCTGAACTTTCAGTTAAAGGTCTTCTTTCATCATTCCAAAACAATATATACACATATCATCTTTCGTAGACTAACTTCAGTTAAGAACAAATGAAATCTCATGAATCAATCTCCCGCTGTAGTTCCGTACGGCACCTGGAGAAGATGTTTTTGCACGGGTCAGGATAGACCATGGTGCCGAACTCGGAGACGACAATCCGGTCAGCCTTGGCATTTTTCTCATAAGTGTGACTCTTCAGGAACTTACTTCGGTAAAACACCTCACCTGGCGGAACAAAAACGTCAACATCAAGGAGAGCAGCAGCAGCAATGATGGCGACGCAATATTGCCAGAAGGACATCAGCGCCAGGGACGTAGTGGGCCCGAAATTCAGCCAGGGAATTTGAAATGGATTGATTCTGAATTGCCCCACATGTTGTACTCGGCAGGGTTGCGTTTTATTGATTGATTGATTTATTTTTGTTGTTGTTGTTGTAGTAGTATTGATGTTTTCTTGCAATTGTGACATGATCGCGGTGGTATCAAGAGGTGGATGAAGTCAGGCAAGTCGCCACCGAAGGCCCCGATTAACGAACGCACGGCCCGCCATTTGCGTCAACGTGACCCACCGTCTTTGAAAGCGAAACTGTGAATGAGGGACATCCCGTCGAACCAGTGGTTGTACTCGGTGTCGCCCACAGAAAAAAGTGCGGGGCCGTTCCTCACCAGCGTGCCCCGCAGCCATGCGGGCACACAACCTGCAAAAAAGCGCAGGTCAAAGAGGTTCATCTGGACCGTCACCAACCACCAGAGTCAAATCCAGTCAACCAAATCACCAGAGCACAGTTGAGTGCTCATTTTGACGAAACCAGTCGCAGTTGCAGAGGTGGTTTTACAGGGTAACAAGGGGTGTGCAGCTGCCACCTCCACCCCCGCTGCCACCCCTGCTCTTGCCAATGAATCCATCAATACCAAATTCAGAACTTTGTTAGAAATGTTCCCGATATTGTCTCCCGGAGATGGCCGCTGGAGCCTAGTTTGACATTCAGCCCCCCCCTGAAAAAAAAAAAAAAAAAAAAACCCATCGATGCCGCAGCCATATTGGATGTGGCAAAGTCAAGAAAATTCTCTATATGCTGTTTTTAAAAATCACGTGTGATGAACGCTTACTTAGTGAGACAAAGGCAAGTGTGTTGTGAAAAAAATGCAACAATATACCAAAATTAAAGGTGCAGCCATAATCGTTTCATAATCAAATCGTAGCCCCGGAATCATTGTTGAATTTTCCACCAATGACCACCTAAACAAATACTGAGGTTAAAAAAAAACCCAAAACCCCCAACATTTAAACGTCTTGCACATAAAACCTCCATAAAATTGTACCTTGAATGCTGAAAAACTAAAGATTGAAATTCAAATTCTTCAAAAGGAGACATCTTATGAACTGCCTTTCTTCTTTTGCTCACCTTTGACGTGAGCTTTCACAGGCTCCGTTGTTTCCTTCCCATTCTGAAGAAATAATGATTGCATGTTCACAACTGAGCTGGACTCGTTCATTTTGCCGCCGCTGCCGCTGTTGTCACGCCGCCATCAAGTTGATGAAACACAAGCAGACAGTATGTACTTACGCCAGCCTTTATCTGTCAGTGGGCGTCCTGTAAACGTTACATAAGAGCCGCTTGGCCATTACGGAATTATAGAAATATGAGCTTGTGTAAGTTGTAGTTGTCCAAAGTTGTCCCGTACGACAAAATGTGAACTAGCTCTTTAAAAAAAAAATAATAATAATTCAAATTCCCAATAGCTATTAAGGAGCCTCTAAAACTGCATTTTTTTTCTATTGGGACTCTTGATGACCGACCAACTTAATTGTAAGAGTTAAGTTTCAAAGTAGCTGGTTTAAGATATGATTTGGTTGCTGGGTCTTGTAATTGTTCAAATAATTGTTTTTTACTAATGACTTATTTTAAACATGAGAATAATTGTCTTTTGAAGTTGTTTCTCGTAACTTTGTCACACAAGCCTTTTTATTCACGGTGAGAGGGGAAAAATAGCTTACATCCTTAGCAGAAATGACATTAAGCTAATTGTTGTGACCTTGTCATTTTTTTTTCCCCGAATGTTTTCAACTTTAATGTAGTGTGTCACTCAAACCAGTGCAACCTTGCCACTTAGTAGAAAAAGACATTCACATCAAAAGTTTGCTTCTTTTATAATGCCGAGCTACATTTGTCCTGACCAGTTAGCATAGCCACTAACACACCTAGCATATACGCTTGAACGAAAACTCTGCATTAGCATTGGTTTGCAACCGTGTTTCTGTTTTTAGACCGTACTAAAAAAAAAAAAATCCACTAGTATCCACATAAAGTGGAACTTTGTTTAACTGTACATTTGTTCAGTAATATTTCTGAAATGTGTTTTTAATGTGCCTCAGTATCAGAAACTGGGTTGTGGCAAACATTTATATCGTGACGACCAACAAAATAACTCATCGTGTGTAACTTGTGGCTCATTAATTAGCCAGTTGTCAACACGTCTCTCAGGTATCTTTAATATGTTTCATTTCATTTCATAAAGTCACTTCGATTCCTTTTATGTGGCTTGAGTCTATTTGTCCCATTTACGGAGATCAAAACTGTGAGGAAAAAAAAAAACACCTGCTCCTTGCTACACTGCAGACACGTTATGTCGGCTACGTGTCGAAATGAAAGCGGAGAATGAGCGTCACTGACCTTAAGACTCTTTTATCTCTAATGGGTTAAATCAGTTTGTGGCTAAATCGCTGCTCTTATCAATGGCACAGGCAACACTTTGCCCCCAGTTTCATGTCGAGGTGGCAAAAGTGCTTCAACTTTAAGTTAGACGTACAGATAGTTGTGTAAAAAACTAGATATATTCCTGTAAAAGATGAAGTACCGAGTTCACTCCTTTATTAAGTACGTTAGCAACATATTTGTACTTAGTTCCCACCACCGAGTTGTCATGTCCCGGTCAAAAGTGACTCCACCCCGTTGGACAAAGCATAGGCTATGTGTTTTAGCAAAATTTTCTTGATGGAAAAGTAAGAAAAATGATTGATCAAAATGATAAATTCATCTTTGAATTGCTTTTGTAGTTTTTTTTTTCTGCCAAAAGTTTTCATGAAATGGGAGATTCTACAAATGCTTTTTAGTTCAGATGAAACAGTTAATCGATTAGCAACGAATCAAGTCATTAATCAACAACATTTTGGAGAATGGGTTAATTGTTTAAAGACTTTGTTGAACTTAAAATTGTCCAAATACATTGACCAAAATAAGACATTTGCGAACATTTGCTTTTACTGTGAAAAACAATGAACCAACTTTTTTTGCCATTTTTTTTTTGGGGGGACTTGTAACGGACCAAGTAATGAACTGAATCATATTCAATTTGAGCATTTTCTACACAGCCAAATTGAAATCATGTCCTGTTTTCGAATAAAGTGAGGGAAAACCCAACAAGTTTTGAACAATAACATCGAGTGTTACAGTCACACTTCTGAATAAATCAGGTCACCAACTTAATTCCGGGGCTAACATCTTGTTTACAGTGCTAATGCTAGTTTAGCTTGCATCAGGCCACCAACGTAATCCGGGGCTCACATCTTGTTTACAGTGCTAATGCTATCTTAGCTGGCTAGCGTTGTTATATTGTTGAAGCTCACTTTAGCTATATGAAGGAAAATGGGCTCCAGAAACAAGGGCTGAGATTAAAAAACAAATCCCATCCGACAAAGAACGCTACCACATGTGTTGGATGAAAAATGACGTTTATTACAAACATTTGACACAGAGCTGTTTGTGGTCACTTAGCAGCTGTTAGATTGGTAGAAATAAACCGTCCGGTTGGTTCGGTCTACTGCTCGTCAAATGGGGCTGACGTTCTAACAGCCGCGACGTTCGCTTCCCATCTTGAGCCTCCGTAGTGTGCTTTTCGTCACCTTTGTTACTGCTCTGGCGTCGGCCTAAAAACGGGATCGTACACTACAATCCAGCTGAAATCCTTTGCGGTGCGCTCCATTTGATCTTCAAACCATCAAATGTAGCGAACTACGCGCTCCCTCAAAGCCTTTGTCGTCACTTTAAATTTCCGTTGTAAACCATTTCGAGTGCCACACTCCGTCTTTCGCACCTTTGAACAAGGGTGGGCAAACTTTTGACGACAGGGCCACTTTTTTAAAAGGAATCGACGGGTTATCGTTTGATGAAGTGGGGAAAACAATTTGAAATGAACATGTCTAAGTAGAAAATGTTAATCAGCTTACTTTAATGTTGAACTAATTCAGTAGTTTGTTTCTTGCACGATTTTTGATTTGATTAATTGACCATTGAATAAAATAATTGAAATTATCTTCCAATTTCTAATTGGTTTATTCACAATAAATCAATTGAAGGTCAAGTTTGCAATTAAAAAAAATAGTGAATCACAATATTTCACACGACAAAATAAAATGACGTGATGGGGGGAGTGGGATCAATAAAATCCGCCCTTTCTGGCCCATTGAAAATTGATCATACAACAAAACTGAAAATTAATTACTGGTACCTACAGTTCACGTAAATATGAGTGCTGCATATACATTTTGATGAAATCATTTTGTGGAAAAATGAATGCAAGAAATATGAAAGGACTCTTGATCACGCCAGACTTTTTGTGGCCATGTTTTGCCCACCCCTGCCTTAGTGTTCACCATTCCCTTAAAGGACTCATAAGGGGCTGAGCTCCCTCCATGACTCCCTTTAGTCGAAACAATCGTAGCAAAATTCTGAGAATTTTCAATGCTGGAAACTGTCTATGGGAATGAATAGGAATATACCAGGAATTTACGAAATTGGAAGTTGGCTCATTATAGCTTGAACATTTTAAGTAAGTTAGGTTGGAGGACTATTCAACTCAACATTCACGTTTTTGTTTTTTCGTGGAAACACTTAACATTCCATGAAATGTTGAAAAATTCAACTCACAAATAAAACGGAGTCAATGTCATGTCGTTGAATTGTATCATTTTGCATGGATGATTTGTGCTTGAAGCTAACATGACATTCCCAATCATTTATTGACTGCCAATTCCCATTTAATACCCAAGAAAAGTTTCCAGTTTTTCATATTTACATCATTTTCCACCACTGCAACCCTACGCCTTGCTAATAGCACACTACATTGGAGCTTAAATCCTCCAGAACGCAACTCCACGTCAGTGTCAATCTGTCAATCACCATGCGCTTCCTTCTACCTTGAACCCAGCACTACTTTCTCAGGCTGCATAGTTCCTTAAGGACGAGGGTGTTGTCTGAGAATGGCACCAGAAAAAAGACGCAGACGAATCGAGAGCTTGACTGGAAACAGGAAGGTGGGACACGGAGAGAAGAAGTCGGGCACAGGGAGGTCGGGGTAAGGAAAGAGGAAGTCAGACGGGGAGACAGGCGGGCGAGATGACGGTCAGGAAGCGGGACGGGCAAAAGTTGGACGGCGGGACAGACGGCATCATGTTGAGAGACGCAAACGAAAAATGCATAATCAGCACAGCCAACGAGAGTGAGGCTGCACGTTTGGAGTCGGTCACGGTGGCGGTGGGCGACAGAGACAAAAGACCTTTTCGGGAAGTGTGTAAACAAGAAGGCGCCACGGTGCTTCCGGGGGGCAGAACACAAAATGACCACTGCTGACCTGAACTGAAAACAATGACAAACACTTGTGCTGCCAGATATTTTTTTCAATTTCCCTTAAAAAGAAAAAAAAAAAAAAAGAAATGAAAATAATACACGAGTGGATGTTATAAAGAGCTGTACAGATGTTTAAAAAAAAAAAAAAGTGGTGGTAAAAGTATATATACATATGTTTTTTTTTTAATTTATTCAACGGAGCATATATGCCCTGAATGTACGGAAAAAAAATACAAGACTGGATGTCATAAATAGCTGTACAGATACTAAAAAAAAAAATTAAAAAAACAAAAAACAAAAGGGGAGGGGGTAAGAATGTAATTTTTTTTTTTTTTTAATTTATTGAACGGAGCATATATGCCTTAAATGTAAGTTACCACCATGCCGGGAAAGTTGTTCAGCACCCCCCCGTCTTACAGGACAAATTGGTGAGAGTTTATTGGGTGATAAAGACATCTGAGTTTGCTCTTGCCAGCCGGAAGGACGTGTGGCGTCATGGATCAAAAGGTCTTTTCGGTAGTTGCGCAAACAAAACCAAATCAAGAAAAACAAACCGCCGACAACACATGGTTGTCATGGCACTGCTACAGTGGGGCACCAGCACACGCTCAGTGGATTGAAAAACCTACACAGGAAGGCGCCACTAAGACACACTCGGACACGTTCACACACACACACATACTCTTTTTCTCTCTCTCTCTCTCTCACGTGCACACGAATATGACAAACAGTTTCTCTATTCAGGTGAAAAAACAGATTCTATTATTCTTCATATTGATCATCTTCAACCAATCAGTGGCATGTATGCATATATGTGCATCCTCATCATGAAAGGGGCGGAGTCACGCAGACACATCCAAAGGAACTGTTTTTTTTTTTTTTTTAAACTGTCTCTTGTTGCTTGGCAACAGCAGGTTCCCGGATCCAAAAGTTTGTGATGTCACCTGCGATTGGCTCGGGGACCAATCGGATGGCGGTCCTGAATGGATGATGTCTGGAGGTGTGTTTTGACACTGAAACCACAGGAAGGAGGGCGGGCCTAACATTACCTGCTACAGGAAGTCCGTGTGCGTGTTTGTGCAGGGGGTGGGGGGGGGTCATTGCGTGTCGAGTGCGCTGCGTGCCACCCAGCCCTCGGCCGCCGGCGAGTCGCTGTTGGCCGGTCGGTACACGAGACTCTGCCCCTGTTGGTTGGAGGCCAGAATTTGAACCTTCTCGCCCCGGAACACGCAGATCTCGTCTTCGCGTACGGCCACAAAGTCCTGGAGCACCAGCACCAACTCCTGAAAAAAAAAAAAAGGGTCGGGAATCCAGTGGAATGGATGTGACATAAAAATTGGATCTAAAATGATGTTGAACAATTCTTAACCATTTCATGCAAAGCACGGGAGCAGGGGTGTCCAAATCATTTTTGCCACATTGTTGTTCGGTTTCCTTTGTAGAACCCTGAGGAATCTGAACCCAAATAAATCCAAGATTGTCCCATTGGACATTTACACAACAAATTGATGAATAGCTATTTTTGAAATCACAGGCCCGTAAAAACACTTTCCCCCAATTATTTGCTTATTTTAAAAGCAGTTTTGTAACAAAAAAAAAAAAAAATCTTGCAATATCGCAATGCTTTTAAAAATGAAGACAATTTGCACTTTTGTTATTTCAACAAGAAACATGAAGTTGCTGCTCATAATTTGCTTTCGGGGGCGAAATAAAATGTCGTGGGCCAGATGTGGCCCCCAGGCCTTGCGTTTGACACCTGTGCACTAGAGGGAGCTCGCCTACCGCTCACACCACACTGACAATCACTGCTTGAAGAAAAAAAGTTATCGGCCCAATATCAGCATCATTTCAATGTATAAGGTATTGTGAAGGCCGCCGATTCCGGCCACCGATACTTCAAGGAAAACAAAACAAAAAAATTGATTCGCCTTTCTTTCCACGAGTTGGAACTAATAGCTTGACATATTGGCGCACGATCATGTGTGTCCGAAAGAAAGAAAAGTCTTGGTTCACAATTCTCCGTCGTCGGCCGGGTTTACATGGAGACTTTTTGGTCCTTCTGATTGAAATCGTATCGTGTGAAGCTCTCTGGTCACCCGTTTGCATGCGACGTACTATATTCCGATCTGCCACTTTACATGCTCCACTCTTTTATCAGCTCAACGTGTGTCGTGAAAAATGTAAACATCACGTGATTCATCGAGATGGAAGTTCATTTGTAATACTCAGCGCAGTAGTTATAACACTGTTATTAAACCAACATCTTGATGAAAAACAAGTAAGTGTGCAGTTTTGCCCACTTGAGATTTGATTCCCACCTGGACGTCCTGGTCGCTGTCTGGCAACGGCTGAGGGGCGTGGCCATTAGGTGTGGGCGGGGCCGAAGGCGACCGCCCCGACGACAGGGGACGAGTCACCGATATGCCGCCTTCCTTTTTCTGGTACTCGATGGGAGACTGGAGAGCTAAAGTGGGGGCATTCAAACGTCAACGAGGTTGACCAAAACGCTGCCGCCCATCCGTCCCGTCGCTCACCAGACAAGAAGTTGTTCTGCGCTTCCAGCAGGGCGGCGATGTTCTCCACCCAGGTGCTCTTGATGCCGGTGGAGGACGCCTGGAGCGTGAAGCGCTCCGCTGAGCCGCGAGACCACAACATAAACTTACAGGGGTCTCCCTCCACGCTCTCCTGCATGGCCAGGTAAGTCACCTACAGACACAGCCACAGTGAATACCCGCTCAATCGCCGATTGATTTTTTTTTCGGTTAGAAAAGAGGGTTTAAACAGTTTAAATGTGAGTGGGACAGGTTAAACAAGGGGTGTCAAACTCATTTTTGTCGTGGGCCACATTTTAGTTAGCGTTTCCCTTGGAGGGCCGTTATGACTGAAACCAAAAAAAAAAAAAAAGTCAATAATAAGTGTTTATACAACTTTTGTTTAAGTTACTGTGATGAGGGGTTTGATTACAAGAAAATGCTTACAATATGTCTCTTATTTGTTACATATGAGAATTTTACATTTTGGTAGAGATTTTAGCAAGCATCATGGAAGTTGACACGTTTGATTTGCTTATTGTGGGACACATCAAATGATGTGGCGGGCCAGATTTGGCCCCCGGGCCTTATGTTTGACACCAGTGGGTTCAACCATTCCAAAACATTTTTACACGGTCTCATCGGATCGTATACTTGAGTTTGTTTGCTTGTTTGTTTGACGTGGAACACGTCACGGGCGCTAAACGCTGGTGAGCCGAACTTCAGTGTGAGCACTCGAGCGTATTTCTTGAGCGGTCCGCCCGGTCTGACCTTGATGCTGTTCTTGAATTGGTATCCCGGATTGTTGGATCCTTTGCGCAGGAGTTCGCTGAAGATGATGATCTGCTCAAACAGGAATACCCGGCGCTCTTTGCTACGGGAAAGAACTCCGCCGTCCTGCTCCCACACGCAGAAGGTCTCCTGTTGCAGCAGCTTACCCTGAGAGGTCAACTTCCCCTGAGGACAGACGCGCATCGGGTCAGGGGTCGCAGCAGTCGTGACAGTGCACCGATGCGGGATCGGCATTGTTGTGACGCATCGTGATCGCAATCGACCTTCCTGTCATGCCGGAATCGGAGCACGCAAAGTGGAAGACAACCCCAGATAACCCTCGGCTTCTTTTTCAACGTTTTTTGCTTCAGATAGTAGAGAAAGGGAGGTGCAAAATGTGCTTACTTGCAAATACAAGACCGCAATTGTGAGGGCGGCATCCATAAACGCTTTGACAAATTTGACATAACGTGAATACACGATTAAAATAATTAGCAAATAATTAAAAAATAATTAGTGCAATAAAATCGCGTCTGAGGCAGATGACGAAAAAAAAAAAAAAAGAATAACTACAGCGTCCGGCATGAAGCCTTTGAGCCATGTCGTGGCGGCACTGCCACTGGCAAAGTATAGCCGTGATATAATTTAATATTCAGCATCTTTAGATTGTATTATTTAAGCCTTTAATTTAAGAAAATATTACTGCTGTGTAAACTGCTTTTTTTTAGGGGGCGGGGGTGAATATAAAATCTGACTGAATATTTATCATTTGATATTTTTGGGGCTTTATATCCCGATGCACAAAAACATGTTTGCAGCGGACTAAAAAGATCAATCGTAACTGATCAGTGGGTAAAACTCCAATATCGACAAATAAATATGAAAAAAATGCAAGCAGGTGTTGATTTCATCATATCCATGTAAAAAAATGTGTTCCGGCTCAGTCAGACCAGTGTCAGTAAACTTTGGGCGGTAGCCCGGATCATCGGGCCACTGTTCATGTCGAACACTGAAGCGGCACGACTGTCTTTAATTTGTTTCTGCTCTGACGTCAGTTACTTTGCAAAATGGAGACGCGTAAAGACGTCGCTACTCTATTTCTGAGGACGTTTTCAACGTTTTCGCCCCTGTAGCGTTCATATTTCAAAGTCTCGCTTTCACATCCTTCATTTTCCATTTGCCTATTTTGCCGACAAAAAACATCTTTCGAACGTAAACTACTTTTGCAACGACCAGATTTTGCCCACACGTTTAGAGACAATGCCTTCGCCCACGTTGAGAGACAATGCCTTCGTTACAACAAACTGCACGAAGCTAATTGCCGCCGCGACCTTGCTTGGGAACAAAATGTACAGCGCGCGATTCGCCTCCGTTGCTTAGCAATGCGACCGATCGACTCGTACGTTGTTGTACTTCCGGAGGCACGCTGCGGCCTTGAGTGGTTAGAAAACACTTACTCACGCCCAACCGACTGAATTCTGAACTCATTCAGGAGTTTCTCGATGAACACGCCTACCTCGTATCCCTGCAGGCGGCCGAGGTTCATCATGTCATTGCAGCGCTTCGGGACCAGCGACATCAGCTCCAGTGCTTTCTATACACAAATAACAGGAAGGCGGTGACAAACACGAC